TAGAAAATCATGTCATCAATGAATAGACACAGTTTTACTTTTTATTTTCCAGATTTCTATGTGTTTTGTTTCTTTTTTTCTTCTTCTGTTCCACTGGCTAGGACCTCTAATGTGATGATGAATAGGAGTGATAAGAAAGTATCTTATAGTAAAAGCATTCAGTCTTTCAACATTAACCATGAAGCAGTCTCTAGGCTTTTGTGTAGTTACTCTTTTTCAGGTTAAGCAATTTCCCTCCTTTTCCTAATTTACTGAGTTCTTTTTTTTTTCTAATTATGAACAGATACTGGATTTTGTCAGATGCTTTTTTGTTTTTTTTCTTTAGTCTTTTGATATGGTGAATTTCAATAATTAATTTTTTTAAAATGTTGAACCAGTCTTACATTCATGGAATAAGGCATACTTGGTTGTGACTTATTATTCTTTTTATATATTGCTGTGTTTGTAACAGTTATTTTAAAAATAATAACTGAAATAGGTGTTGTTACTACTTAAATTCTGGAATACCTTTAAAAATCATAACTCTCTGTTTATTAATTCAGCCAACAAATATCTGACAATTATTGTGTGCTAGACATTGTTTTAAGTGCTGCAGATTAGAACATTGAACAAAATTGAGTTCTGCCCTTAGACTATATTACTTTCTAGAATGTAATATAAAGTCAGATTCTGACATTAGCACCCCGAGGAACAATAAAACAGTGTAGGGGAATGGAGAATCATGAAGTGAGGGGCTAAAGCTATTTTAAATAATTAGTCAAGGCAGGACTCTCTGAGGACGTGACTGTAGAGCAGAAACATGAATGAAGTGAGGGAGCTAGCTATCTTATTTGTGGAAAATTGTTCCAGCAAATACGAAGTCCTGAAGCAAAGACTTGTTTGGTGTGTTTCAAGAATAACACAGAGGCTAGTGTTTATGGAGTGCAGTAACCCATAGAGATAGTTACAGGAGGCTAAGTAGTCAGGGACTTGATAGTGTAGAACTTTGTAGGCCATGGTAAGAAAAACTTTGGATTTTAAGTATAATGGCAACCACTTATTTTTCACCAAATATTAATTCAGTGTCTGCTATATGTTAGCTACTTTTGCATCTTGAAAACATAGTAGTTAACAAAATAGTGAAAAATCCAAGCAGTTGTAGATCCTAGAAATGTTAGTAATAAGTGTAGTTGTTTATGTTAATATGGAGGTAGTCAGAAGTGGTAGAGTTTAGGATGATCAGTTAGTAAGCCTTGTTTATACACAGTGATTACATATTTAGGTATTTTTAAAAATTGGAATAAATGGACTTGAGTTTTATGCTAAAACTATATGAACATAATTTAACCTTTTTTAATAATAGGAGACAGTTATTTTCCTGAGTTTCTTTTGGTTGCAAAGTAGAGAGACTTTCAGGCTAGGGTTTTTTAATAAGGATGGAGTCAGGAGTAGAATACAGAAGAACTTCATGGAAATCCTAGAATACGAACTGTGATATGGCTGGGCCTTCCAGAGTCCAGAATCCCCAAATCTTTATATCCAAGTGTGTTAATTATCTATTGCTAGGTAACACATTACTCCAAAATTTAAAACATTTATTTCACAGCTTCTGGGGGTCAGGAATTTAGATTTGGCTTAGCTGGGTGCCTCTGGCTCAAGGTTTCTCACAAGGCTGCAGTCAAAGTGTTGGTTGGAGCTGCAGGCATCTGAAGGCTTGACTGAGGAAGGATCTGCTTCTCAGATCATTCACATGGCTGGTTGGCAGGCTTTAGGTCATTGCTGTCTGTTGGCTGAAGACAATAGTTCTTTGCTGTGAGGGTCTTCCCAGCTCACAACATGGCAGCTGGTGCTCCCGGATGAGAGGGGTGACAAGATGGAAGCCACAGTATCTTTGTAACCTAATGTTGAAAGTGGCATCCCATTATCTCTGCTGTATTCTGTTTGCTAGAAGCAAATCACTAAATCCAGTCCACACTGTAGAGGAGAGGATTACACAAAGGCATGAATACCAGGAGATGGGTATTATTAAGATCACTTTAGAAGCTGCCTATCATACCAAGTAAGCCCTAGAGATCTTACCAGAGTTTTTGTGTGTATGTTTTATTCTAGTTCTCTACCATAAGGTTCCTTAGCCACTCTCAATGTCTACATTTCTTTCGCTTCTCTTTTTTCTACCAACTCCATTTCTTATCTCTTAATCTATGTATCTTTTTTCTGCTTCTTATTTTTAGTTTCTCCTTATCTTTAGTTTATCCAGGGCCTAAGATGAACTCCACTGCTTCTTCTTATTTCACCTTTTGCCCCTGCTGCTAGCCACTTTGATTATATCCTTAGCACCCTGTTCAAATTTTTGAAAGGTGGGTAAGGAGGGGATAGAGTATAGTATCTTTTGAATATGATTACCTCAGAGAGAACTGTGATTAGGACAGTTTCCCTCAGAGAGCAAAGTAGTTATTTAAATACTATTGTAGATGTTTATAAATTAGAAGTTACAGGTCATTGAGTTGATCAAGTGACAGACTGAATCTTGAAAAAAAATTTCCCAATGCTAGCTTGTTTTATAATTATTTTTCTATTTCTCATAAAAGTAGAGTGCAAAATATATTTTTAAAAAGAAAACCCAATATTATGGTTATTTTTGTTTTCCTATTTGTTTTGGATTTAGAATAAATGAAAATCTGTTATATATAAGATTTATTATTTTTGAGGCACTATATAAAAGTGTATAAATTTTGAGACAGAAAATTATACAGAAATCTACATTTTTTGGAGACATTATACAGTAAAATATAAAAAAGGCAAACATTTATTTTTATCACACAGAATTAACAACGATTAACATTTGCTCATACTTCATTTAATCTTTTTCCCCCAAGTAATAAAATACTGTAGTTAAAATTCAGCTCCTCTTAAAACACCACTCTTCTGTTTCATGGAACTTACCTGATGCAACTACTGTTACAATTTTGGTGGGTATTTTTCTGGTTCGTCTTTTATTCTTGTAAACACATAAACACGCACATGTATATGTACATAAGTATGGTATGGTTTTGTGTTTGTGTTTTATTTATATGGTACCATACTATATATATTCTGCACCATTTCTTTTTTTTTAAACTTTATTCTGCTTTTGAGGTTTGTCCATATTGATACATATAGATCTAGGTCATTTTTTTTTAACTGCTATTCTAGTATTCCATCATGTTTTGATATCCATTCTCTCACTGTTAGATGTCTAGGTTGCTTTGAATGAGTGTTTTGCTCATACAAACACTGATCTCTTGTGCACCTGTGACAAACACATTTTCCACATTATTGTCAAATTATAGAATCAATTTATAGTTCAAACAGATGTGAGAAATCTTATTTACCCATGTTCCCATGGTAAGTGATATTTTCAGACTTAAAACCCTCTTTTCAATTTGGTGATTAGAAAACTGGTCTCTTGCATTATTAATCTGCATTTCATTTATTACTGGTAAAGTTGAGTATATATTTAATGACCATTTGGATGTCATCATCTCTGAAGTGTCCGACTGTTGTAACCTTTGCCCGTTTCTAGGAGTTCTTAATATATTCTGGATACTAATCCTTTGTCTATTGATATATGTTGCAGTTATCTTCTCCTAGTCTATCACTTGCTTTTAACGCTGTGTGTAGATTTTTATTTTAATTGCATAGAAGTTTTTGTGCCTTTTTTTCCTTTTGATCATTCTTATTAGTCTTTGCAAAGAATCAGCTTTTGGTTCTGGGTTTTTAAACAAGAATGAAGGGTGTAGAGTTACAGCTACCTCCTGGGGACATACAGTATGGGAGTGTGGCCATTTAAATGGCTATTAACTGTCATGTGCATTGAAACAAAAATTATGGAGTGTCATAGTTCCAAAGGATCTTCAAAAACTTGTAATTGTTAATGAAGAAAATTTTTTTCACTAACTCTTCAATCTTCATAATTTTTTTCATCATAATTTTTAATAGTACTAGATTAACTTTTTTATGAGTCAGAATATATGGTTTTATACTTTTTATTTTGCTAAAATAAAATTTGTTTTAATTATGGGATTAATCTTTAGTGTCATCTGTTACATTCCCCCCTATTTTTCAGGCAGGAGTAAGAGCTTCTGTAATGATAATTGATGACTATCCATTTGTGAAAAGGAAAATAATGATTGCAGATGATTTTTCAGAAAAAAAATTTGCACATTGCAGATTAGGCTAGTTTTTACTACCACGTTATTTTTAGCACCTGTGAAATTATATACTTTTTTTTTTTTTTTTTTTTTTTTTTTTTTCTTTTTTGCGGTACGCGGGCCTCTCACTGCTGTGTTTTTTTTTTTTTTTTTTGCTGTGCTGTGAGGCTTGTGGGATCTTAGCTCCCTGACCAGGGATTGAACCCTTACCCTGGCAATTAAAGTGCAGAGTCCTAACCATTGGACCGCCAGGGAATTCCCAATTATATACTTTTTTTGTAGTTCAGTTCACTTATATCTTATTACCTTATTTCCTACATTTTAGTTATTATTAATACTGTTCAGATTGCGAAGTTTAAATTGAGAAATGAAGGTTTTGAGCAATTTATTATATTTTATAAAAATAATACTTTTGGCTGAAACTGTGGGATTGAGTCACATTTTCAAGTATGAATCCCAGGTTGGATTTTTTTCTTTTAACTCTCACCAAACATTGTCCAAAAAATGGAATCCTGAGATGTAATTGCATTCACAAATATTTGTCTAACTCTTAAATACTAGGCACTGTGCAACTTTCATTGGAGTGTTGGGTATTAGGCCCACAGTCAGAATGAAGAATAGTCCTTATGAATTCCTTATGAGCTAGCAAAGAGCAGAGATAATGTTAGGAGTTGGGAAATAGAGGAGGAATTTAGTTCCATTCACTTTTTAATCAGAGACATTGAAAGTGTTGCCCTTGGGGAAAGTATAAGCATAAAACTTTTTTCTTGATATTTGATCATTTATTTTTACATTATTTTAGGTTTGCAGTAATTATCTGCAGGATTCGCCATGACCCCAGCTCTGAGGGAGGCAGCAACAAAGGGTATCTGCTTTTCATCTTTACCAAGTACCATGGAGTCGGACAAGATGCTATGCATGGAAGGTCCAAGAACGGTAGATGAAAAGCTAAAAGGAGACACTTTCTCTCAGATGCTGGGATTTCCAACTCCTGAACCTACTCTTAGCACTAATTTTGTGAATTTAAAACATTTTGGCTCCTCTCAGTCTTCAAAACATTACCAGACTGTTCTTTTAATGAGTTCTAATGCTACATTAAATAAATACAGTGAGAATTATAAACAAAAGAAATTAGGGGAACCCCACTGCAATAAGCTGAAAAACATACTGTGTAATGGTAGCAACATTCAGCTCAGTAAAATCTGTCATTCTCATTCTGAAGAGTTCATCAAAAAGGAACCTCTGTCAGATACCACAAGTCAGTGCATGACAGATGTACAAATTATTTTGGATTCAAATATAACCAAAGACACTAATGTAGATAAAGGACAACTGAAAAACTGTAAGTGGTACCAAAAGAATGCACTTTTGGATAAAGATAGTGACTCTGAGATTAAAAAGGGTTTATTGCACTGTGCTCAAAACAAAATTGGGCCTGACCACTCAGACGTGCCTATTAGTTCCTCAACTGCTGAAAAAGAGGAGGAAGTGAATGCTCGTTTACTTCATTGTGTAAGCAAACAGAAAATTTTACTTAGCCAAGCTAGAAGAACTCAGAAACATTTGCAGATGCTCCTGGCAAAGCATGTTGTTAAGCACTATGGTCAGCAAATGAAATTTTCTATGGAACATCAGCTCCCCAAAATGAAGATTTTTCATGAACCTACCACAATTTTGGATAACAGTTTACCTAAATGCACTGAAATTAAACCAGACATCAACTTATTGACTGCAGAGAATAAATTGTGGAATGATACAAAAAATGGCTTTGCACGGTGTACAGCTGCAGAAATCCAAAGATTTGCACTGTCTGCTACAGGGCTGTTGTCTCATGTTGAAGAGGGTCTGGATTCTGATGCAACTGATAGCAGCTCTGATGACGATTTGGATGAATATACCATTAGAAAAAATGTGTCAGTGTAAGTGCAAAATTATTATTAGACCTTTTACTGTTCTGTATATAGCAGCAATTTTGTCTTGATTTCAAGATATGTTGAAAAGAAATAGATTTTCTAAAATCTTAATGCCATAATCTTTAAGTTATAAAACTTTGGTGAATTTTTTAAATGTTTCTTTTGTTAAAAATGACAGTCTGTGAATATATACATACTATTTAAAAATAAGTTACCCAACTGCTCTATCTAGGAAAAAAACCCAGATAGGAATAATGAAAAATAATTAGCTATAAATATGTATTTTTCCTGTTCTTGAATAGAATAGGCTGTGGACAGGGCTTAAAATTTTGCTTAAGTTATCTAGCCAAAATGTATAGCTAAAAAAATTTAAAGTCTGCATAGGTAGCCCTCACTGGCTTCAGGAGTTTATCAGTTGGCAGTACATATAAATTGACCTGCTACTTACAAAAATTTTTAAACTATTTATATGCTCGTATTCACAGCTTTCAGCTCTGGTCTTTACCAATTTAGTCAATTTTTGCTAGATTAATATAACCAAAACAAAATTATAATGTCAGCTCTTAGATATCTACTGAATGCTTATTATGTGCTGGACCCTAGAGATTCAGTGATAGGCAAAATATTCACAGCCTCTACCCTCTTGGGAATCTGCTTCAAAGAGAGATAGCTAGATATTTTATAAAACAAAACAAAACAGAAGCACAGAGAAAAATAGTTTTACTTATCGTACCATTTTAATACTCCAGAACAGTTCTGATAGAAGTTTCTGGGATGATGGAAATGTTCTATTTCTGTGTTATCCAGTAGGCACTAGTCTCATGTGGCTATTGAGCACTTGAAATGTGACCAGTACAACTGAAGAACTGAATTTTTTTAAATTTATTTATTACTTAATTATTTATTTATTTATGGCTGTGTTGGGTCTTCGTTGCTGCGCACAGTCTTTCTCTAGTTGCGGTGAGCAGGGGCTACACTTTCGTTGCGGTGCACGGGCTTCTCATTGTGGTGGCTTCTCTTGTTGCAGAGCACAGGCTCTAGGCACGTGGGCTTCAGTAGTTGTGGCTCGCGGGCTCTAGAGCACAGGCTCAGTAGTTGTGATGCATGGGCTCAGTTGCTCTGCGGCATGTGGGATCCTCCCAGACCAGGGCCTGAACCCATGTTCCCTACATTGGCAGGCGGATTCTTAACCACTGTACCACCAGGGAAGCCCAGAACTGAATTTTTAATTTTATTTAATTTGAATTAATTTTATTTTAAACAGCCAGCTAGAATATAGTTTCTAATCTAGCTTTCAGAGAATCTGTTAATGTCCCTAAATTGATACAAAATACTGTGTATATATGTGGTATTTGGGGAGGAAGAAGTTCATCATTTTTATCAAATTCTCAAAGATAAGTGAGAATCATTATAGAATTAGAAGCGGAATACATTAATTTTTACTAATAAATAGAAGGTCAGTATATTAATTTTTATAGTAAGGAGTAAAATATAAAACAAAGTGAGCATTCCAGGCTTTTTGGTGTTCTGTTATCACTATATTTGAAATGGATTTGAATGAGAGCTAATAGTTATTGAGGACATATTTTTCTAACTGGCATTGTGCTGTTTACTTTACATTTGATATATTATTTAATCCTTTCAACAACCATGGGAGGTAATTGTTGTTATCTTTATTTCGCTTAATAAGAAAAAGGCTCAGCATGGCTAAGTGACTTGCCTATGGTCAAAAAGCCAGATAAGTGGTGGAGCTAGGCTTCTTGCCCATGTATGTGAAACCTTAAACCTATGCACTTTCTGTTGGACCATCCAACTTTGTCAACATTATATCAATGATGCTTACACATTATTAAGCAAATGTGTTCTATAAGAAGTCCAGAAATTTATCAGGTTTTCTATTTATAATGCTTTTGAAGTAATTCAATTTAATAACATTTAGTAGGTAAATGCTGTAAATTATTTACATTTTGTTGTTGAGAAGAGCTAATGGGCAGGGTTTTTTTTTTTTTTTTTTTTTTTTGCGGTACACGGGCCTCTCACTGCTGTGGCCTCTCCTGTTGTGGAGCACAGGCTCCGGACGCGCAAGCTCAGCAGCCCTGGCTCTCGGGCCCAGCCGCTCCGCGGCATGTGGGATCTTCCCAGACCGGGGCACGAACCCATGTCCCCTGCATCGGCAGGCGGACTCTCAACCACTGTGCCACCAGGGAAGCCCTAGGGCCGGGTTTTTTATTATTGAAATATAATTGATGCACAATATTATGTTAGTTTTGGGTATGCTGTGTAGTGATTTGACATTTACATGCATTTTGAAGTGATCACCAATATAAGTCTAGTAACCATCTGTCCCCATACAAAGTTATTACAGTATTATCAACCATATTCCTTATGCTGTATATTACATCTCTGTGCCTTATTTGTTTTATAAATGGAGGTATATACTTCTTTAATCCCCTTCACTTCTTTCCCCCACCACCCCACACCCTCCCCCTCTGGCAACCACCTTTTTATTTTCTGTATTTATTAGTCTGGTTTTGTTTTGTTCTGCTTGTCTTGTTTTTTAGATTCCATATATGAGATCATATGGTATTCATCTGACTTACTTCACTTAGTATAATACCCTCTAGAGTCATCCATATTGTTGCAAATGGCAAGATTTCATTTTTTATGGCTGAATAATATTCCATTGTATGTATATGTGTATATATATAAAAAAAACTTCTCCATTCACCTATGGATGGACACTTAGGTTGCTTCCATGTCTTGGCTCTTGTAAATAATGCTGCAATGAACATGGGGGTGCACATATCTTTTCGAGTTAGTGTTTTCATTTTCTTTGGATAAATACCAGGGAATGGATTGCTGGATCATAAGGCAGTTTTATGGTTAATTTTTTGAGGAACCTCCATACTGTTTTCCATAGTGGCTGCACAAATTTACATTCCTAACAGCAGGGCACAAGGGTCCTTTTTCTCTGCATCCTCATCAACACTTGTCATTTCTTGTCTTTTTGATAATAACTGTTCTAATGGTGTGAGGTGATAGCTCATTGTGGTTTTGATTTGCAGTTCTCTGATGATTAGTGATGCTGAGCACTTTTTCATGTGCCTATTGGCTATCTGTATGTCTTTTTTGGAAAGATGTCTATTCAGGTCCTCTGCTGAGTTTTTTTTTTTTTTTTCTTGTGGTACGCGGGTCTCACTGTTGTGGCCTCTCCCGTTGCGGAGCACAGGCTCCGGACGTGCAGGCTCAGCGGCCATGGCTCACAGGCCCAGCCGCTCCACGGCATGTGGGATCTTCTGGGACAGGGCCACGAACCTGTGTTCCCTGCATCGGCAGGTGGACTCTCAACCACTGTGCCACCAGGGAAGCCCCACTCAGCTCAGTTTTTAATCAGGTTGTTTTTGATGTTGAGTTCTTTGTATATTTTGGATATTAACCCTTTATCAGATATATCATTTGCAAATATATTTTCCCATTTAGTATTCAACCTTTTGATTTTTTGATAGCTTCCTTTGCTATGCAACTTAATTTTAAGCAACTTAAAGGCAAGTACTACTTTTTCTGTCATTGTATACCCAGTTCCTAGCACTGTCTGCTTTTTAGTGGTTGTTTGGTGTTGGTTGAGTGAATGAATGAATTGTTCTGTATTTGTATATGTAGCTGTAAAGGTACAAAAATCGAGGTTGGCAGTCTGTAAAATTTTCTCTTTCTATGTTTTATTTTTTCTTCTTCCATTCTGCAGTATATCTTTACTTGATTTTTCCCTCCTTTCTTCCTTGATCTCTAGTAACAAACTGGTCACAAAATGTATCTTATACATCTTAGAACCCGCATGAGTGTGTGTTAAATGAATGAATGAATAAAATATACCAAAATATGGGCATTTGAAAGTCATTATTTTATTCTAATATTTAAAATTTTAATTTTGATAAGTAAAATTGATATGTGTATTATGTTTATCTTAAAAATCTTAGATTATATGATAACTAATGTCTTGTTTTTTGTTTTTTAGTTTATAGCCCATATAAGAGAAACAAATTCCTTCACTCCATCACTCTTATCAGGAAATTTACCTGTGAAGGAATACGATGGTTTTAAGAAATTGGAAAGTACTCACATTAGCCATTACCAGTTATTTAAAATATATATTTATATGTAGACAGTAGATTAATTTATAATGACATTACTGATACACTTTAAAGATAACTTTTGGCTGAAAGACTAGTGTGCATTAGGCACTTTTTTAAAGAGTCAATTTACTTTGCAAAGCAAAACAGGAGGACTTTATTTTTTGTAGGTTTGAGATATAATCCTTATAATATGAATGGAATCTCCCCCCTTCCATGTTCTGTCCCTTTGGTGAAGGAACACAAGTTATGGACATACTTGTGTTACAGTCATGGCTTGCTCTGTGACTCTGAGCAATGGTTAGGTTATTCTTAACCCACTGAATCAGATTCCTCTTTTTTGGTCTACCTTAAAGAGTTCTGGAGATGATTAGATGAAATAATAAATATAAAGTACCTATGCCTAATAAGGCACTGATTTGATATCCAATAAAGAGTGCCTTATTAAGCAGTTTATGGTTGTGGAAGACTGGAGCTTAATATCCCATGGAAAACTTGGGGAGCCAGTGTAAAATACATGCCTGAGTTAACCATTTGAGAGGTGAAGAAGCTGGAGTATTTGTACATCAAATCCCGTCAGTTACTGGGTGAAGACTATTCCTGGTTTTACAAATTCCCTGGCAGTTCTATTCTGCCACTTGAGTGACAAAGACCGCTTAAGCACCACCAACAAAAAGCCCTCAAAGAAATGCAGGTGCTGGCAGTTGGAAGTCAGGTCTGTGTCTGCTGAACTGGTATGTGTGAAGGGATGTGGGTGGGTTTGACACACTGTGTTACAATTATGTTACCTCTCATCTGGTGGTAAGGCCTTAGAGTTCTAGCTTTTATTTATTTATTTTTTCTTCTCTTCTGGGAAATGATGATTAGTTACTTTCTTCC